TGAGGCTTCTACACACATACTGGGAGACATAATTTCAAGTCTCAAGATATCGCTTTAATCTCTACACGGAATATGTGTTTTATAACATTTAGACATTAATCGTCAGTGTTGGGGGTAATGCATTACAAGTAACGTGAGTAACGTAATCAGATTACTTTTCAAGTAACTACTAAAGTAACGCAATTAGTTACTTTTATGGAGTAACGCATTACTTTTAAAAGTAGCTTAACTTTCCCCAACACTGCTCATTGTTATTCTGTGTCTCTTCCAGACGCTTCTGGAGCCATACTCACCTTTCGTTCAAGCATACAACAATAAAGCTCCTCCTGATTCTGATTCATACTCTATTTTACTCCATGGACGGTTTCTACTTTTAAAACCCCATCTGTCACTCCACAGGACAATATAAACTGAGCTAGTGAAAGTAGAGACGACTCGAGCAGTGAAATAAATCAATCATTCCTAGAAACCCCTAATTATTTCACAATGCTTGCGCTTCACTTCTTCCAGACGCTGTTTGAGATCCTCCAGTATTTCACAACAAGCATCTTATTCTCAGAGTGCTTCATATGCTGCAGATATTAAACGCAGTACAGCTGACGGTGAATGCAGATCCACGAATCCATCAGCTGAACTGGAGAAGCAGCACACACACACGCACAGCGTTTCAAAGCACAGACGTTTAATTGATCTCACAGAGTCAAGGACACAGGGATGAGTTTAATCAGGACTGTAACGAACCCAACATGCCGGAGACGGTTTGTGCAGGTCGAAGCAGGTTTCATTTGTAATATCTGTGCTCATCACAATCCAGGGACTTGCACCGATGTTAATATTAGATCACACAGCTGACTATAGTGTGGGCTTTTACAGTTTTGAATAAATGTACTAAATCAGCATCTTTAAATAAACAAACAGAAACACACGAAGGGCTCGAGGCTGTGACGACTGAAATAAAGCACATCACAATTCAACCGGTTACGAGTAAACACAGGAGATGCTGCTGGTTCAGTAGTACGGCCTCCTGGGATTGTTCTGTGCGGAAACAGAAGAGATGTGTTACTGATCGGTTCGGTTCGTTTGGCTGGTACAGTTAATACAACACAAGCCCAGAACATCTGATTCATGGAAATACAACATGTGCAAACGCACTGAAATGGCTGATGGGTAATGAGTCTGTGAGAGGCTCACCAGAGGGTTCGGTCTGAAGCGATACGCCAGCATCATCCTCTTACGGAAAGCATCGTACTCATCGTCACTCTTCGAGAGTTCAGCGGGTCGGTCCACACCGAAGCCTGCGCCGTCCACCGCCGTGGAGCCTCTGCGCACACACACACACACACACACACACAGGTTTAAATTTGTGAAAAGTGGGGACTCTCCATAGGTGTAATGGTTTTTATACTGTACAGACCGTATATTCTATTGTCCTACACCAACCCTACCCCTAAACCTACCCCTCACAGGAGACTTTCTGCTATTTCAGATTTTCAATACACTCCATTCTGTGTGATTTATAAGCGTTTTGAAAAGTGGGGACATGGGGTAATGTCCTGAAAAGTCACCTTCTCCTTGTAATACCTGTCATACCTTTGTCATTATACAAATTTATGTCCTCATTTGTCACAAAAACGCGCACACACACACACACACACACACACGCACACAGACACAGACACAGCACTAGAGCTGTCAAAATGGCTGAAACACTAAATTCGAATTTTATACTTAAATATTATCAATATTCAAATTATATTCGAATTTAAAAAGGCATAATTTCAGTTAGAGGGAAAAAAGCTTTAGGCTTCTCTCCTGAGGCCACAAGAGGGCGCATTGGGCAAAATATTACTAATGCACGTTTATTCAAAGCATAATAAAATAACACTACTTTCTTTGCAAAAAGTGCATCATGTTTAAAATAATGTTCATAAACCATATATAATTAAGTTGCTTAAACAATTAGAAACAAAACAGCATCATGTATATGCCACAGCCATATCACCCTGCAGCCCAAGACTGGTCCCCCACTGAAGCTGAGCAGGGCTGAGCTGGTCAGTAGCTGGATGGGAGACCTCCTGGGGAAACTATGCTGCTGCTGGAAGAGGTGTTAGTGTGGCCAGCAGGGGGTGCTCACACTGTGTGGTTACTAACGCCCCAGTGTAGTGATGGGGACACTATACTGTCAACAAGCACCATCCTTCGGATGAGACGTTAAACCAAGGTCCTGACTCTCTGTGCTCATTAAAAACCCCATGGCACTTCTGGTAAAGAGTAGGGTGTAACCCCGGTGCCCCCCTGGCCTTTGTCAATCATGGCCTCCTAATAAACTGAAGTGACATGTGGCCAAGTATGGTTACCCATACTAGGAATTAGTGCTCTGCATTTAACCCATCCAAAGTGCACACACACCTGGGGAGCAGTTGGGGGTTCGGTGGCTTGCTCAAGGGCACCTCAGTCGTGGTATTGAAGGTGGAGAGCACTGTACATTCACTCCCCCCACCTACAATCCCTGCCGGTACGAGACTCGAACCCGCAACCTTTGGGGTCCGAGTCCGACTCTCTAACCATTAGGCCACGACTTCCCCACAATAATCCCCAACCACTTGATTGGCTCTGTCTCTCTCCTCTCCACCTGTAGCTGGTGTGTGGTGAGCGCACTGGTGCCGTTGTCCTGTGGCTGCCGTCACCATCCTTCGGATGAGACGTTAAACCAAGGTCCTGACTCTCTGTGCTCATTAAAAACCCCATGGCACTTCTGGTAAAGAGTAGGGTGTAACCCCGGTGCCCCCCTGGCCTTTGTCAATCATGGCCTCCTAATAAACTGAAGTGACATGTGGCCAAGTATGGTTACCCATACTAGGAATTAGTGCTCTGCATTTAACCCATCCAAAGTGCACACACACCTGGGGAGCAGTTGGGGGTTCGGTGGCTTGCTCAAGGGCACCTCAGTCGTGGTATTGAAGGTGGAGAGCACTGTACATTCACTCCCCCCACCTACAATCCCTGCCGGTACGAGACTCGAACCCGCAACCTTTGGGGTCCGAGTCCGACTCTCTAACCATTAGGCCACGACTTCCCCACAATAATCCCCAACCACTTGATTGGCTCTGTCTCTCTCCTCTCCACCTGTAGCTGGTGTGTGGTGAGCGCACTGGTGCCGTTGTCCTGTGGCTGCCGTCGCATCATCCAAAAGTGGATGCTGCACACTGGTGGTGGTTGGGGAGAGACCCCCCCCACATGATTGTAAAGCGCTTTGGGTGTACAACAATACACAATAAAGCGCTATATAAATGCATCATTCATTCATGTATGAATGTATAGTTTAATACAAAGGACCGAAAACCAATCACAGAGTACTTTTTAATTTAAAAACATGAGCAGTGGGAAAAAATGGCATAAAGTCTTTAGACATGTTTTTTTGTGACTGTGTGTGTGTGTGAGAGAGAGAGTGAGAGAGAGAGAGAGAGTGTGTGAGTGTGTGCACGAGTGTGTGTGTGTGAGAGTGTGTGAGTGTGAGAGTGTGTGTGTGAGAGAGAGAGAGTGTGTGTGTGTGTGCACGAGTGTGTGTGTGAGAGTGTGTGAGTGTGAGAGTGTGTGTGTGAGAGAGAGAGAGTGTGTGTGTGTGTGCACGAGTGTGTGTGTGAGAGTGTGTGAGTGTGAGAGTGTGTGTGTGAGAGAGAGAGAGTGTGTGTGTGTGTGCACGAGTGTGTGTGTGAGAGTGTGTGAGTGTGAGAGTGTGTGTGTGAGAGAGAGAGAGTGTGTGTGTGTGTGAGAGAGAGAGAGAGAGTGTGTGAGTGTGTGCACGAGTGTGTGTGTGTGAGAGTGTGTGAGTGTGAGAGTGTGTGCGCGCGCGCTTGTGTGCGTGAGAGAGTGTGTGTGTGTGTGAGAGTGTGTGTGTGTGTGAGAGTGTGTGAGTGTGAGAGTGTGTGTGTGAGAGAGAGAGAGTGTGTGTGTGTGTGAGAGAGAGTGTGTGTGTGTGTGACACTCATGTTAAGTGCTGTATTACTCTAGGGGTGTGCGATATTGACAAAAAATTGTATCTTGATATTTTCTGTGATTTTATGGATAACGATAATTAGAGCGTGTTATTGTGCTGGTCTCTTAAGCACTGCCGAAGACAGCTGACTCCTAAAGTTTTTAATATTCTTCATATTCTGTGTGCTCAGTTCACACTGATAGAAATGAATCTTTTTCAGTAAGTTTAAACAGATTTTTACATTTTATGGGCATTTTTACCTTTATAAAGCAATTCTTTCCAAAAGTGTCCATTATCTTTGGAGTCAAATTCTTACATTTAATCAGTGAATTAGAATAATAAGACATTTGGGCTGTTACCGAGCAAATTAAATCAGTATTAGTAAAATTAATCTTTGCAGTGCAGAGGAATCACAGAAGCTGCGTCTGAAGAGGCGTTTAGACGTGTTACACACAAGACATGAATGCATTTAACCTGCAGTTACTAATGCAGAAATACTGTGTTGATCTATTAAACATAAAACCTTGAATACTGATATATGAAATGATTTAAATAATAAAAGATACTATAAATGTGAAATTAAACCCGCCATTCATTCAGGAACGAATCACTGTCGTGTTGCTCAGAGACGCAGAACAGCGCTGTGGCTGTGTTTGGAATTATTTCTGTTGTAGAAATAGTGCAAAAACATTTTCTGGCCCCATGTCTTGAATTTGTGATCATTTTAAATGTATTTTAATAGACTGAATCATGCAGTTAAAGAACGCAGTCTAATATACGCACACTAGTCTAGACTTCAACAACTGAAGTCAACAATTAAAATAACAATTACGATATTATCGCAGACAATATATCGCACACCCCTACATTACTCTATAATCTCAGCTGCTTGATTGTTTATATCGTCACAAATGTAACTATCATCATCCAGCTCTAATCTGATCAATGCGACTGTAAGGCATGAAGATATTATGATATAAACAATAAAACAAAAAAATTATGATAAACACTGACATGATTTTATGTAAAGCTGCTTTAAAGCAATGTGTATTGTGAAAAAACTGCTATATAAATTTAATTTACTTGAAATTTTTTATGAGAGAATCATTGCAGGGTAAAAGGAGGTGAAAATGGTGAAGAACTTCCTTTTAACGTACAAACTAGACTCAAAATTTCCTGGAAATCATATTTATAAATCTCTTAATAATTATGTGTGTTTTACTTTCAGTTTCAGCACTAGTTCGTTTCAATGTTATGGCATGTGACTCTTAACGACATGATTGACAGTTTACGGGGTTTATGGGTAATGTGTGTGTGTTCGTACTTCCTGTTGTTCTTTGAGTTGTTTCTTCTGATCGTCTGACAGCTCCGTCACGCCCACCAGACCCACCGGCTTCCCCTTCTTATATCCCAGACTGCTCAGCTCCTGATCTACACACACACACACAGAGTACAAATGAGGACAAATTATGCATAAAGACGTAAAAGAGTGTGATTCTGTGTGTGTGCGTGCGAGTGATTTTGTGTGAATGTATGTGTGTGTCCGTGTGTGAGTGTGTGTGTGTGTGTCCGTGTGTGAGTGTGTGTGTGTGTGTCCGTGTGTGAGTGTGTGTCCGTGAGTGTGTGTGTGTCCGTGTGTGAGTGAGTGTGTGTCCGTGTGTGAGTGAGTGTGTGAGTGTG